GTTCCTATAACGTGGTAGATGTTCAATAAAATCTTCCCAGTCATTATTTCCATAACTTATGAATTAATGAAAGAAATTGGAATTGCAAGATTAGCATCTTCTTAGTAAATGATGAGCTAAATGTAATATTTAAGAAGAGGAAGAAGGAAACAAAATATCACTTGAGTTTTCAGTTGTCTGAAAGACTTTCAATCATTCTCCTACTTTCCTTCTACTTCTCCAGGTGTAATAGTGGGAGATTACATAGGAATAGATGAGTTACAAAGCAAAGGATAGAGAGGATGAGAATCTGGATTCATCTCTCTCAAACAAAACAAAATTAAAATTTGAAAATGAATAAAGCAGACCAATTTTAGGTCTCTTCTAGCTTTATAATCATGTAACTACGTCATGTTATTGCTTTAATCATAGTAGAAAAGTAGTTTTCTCCAATCATTAGAAATATACAAAGCTCTATATAATTCTGGATGAGATTACTTTAACTGGGTGATTTTTACCTTACTCATTAAATATATATCTCAAATTCTAGTTACATACATACAAGAAATGCAAATGCTAACCATCAGTTGTTTCTTTTTAAGGGATCAACAGACTCTTTTCAAGTGAGTTCTTTTCCTTATTACATTGATCAATTTTGACTAAACTGCTAAAATTTGATCTGTTGTTGTTGTTCAGTCACTCAAGTCATGTCTGACTTTTTGTGACCCCTGAACTGCCTGCAGCATGCCTAACTTCCCTCTCCATCACCAACTCCTGGAGTTTGCTCAAACTCATGTCCATTGAGTTGGTGATGCCATCCAACCATCTCATCCTCTGTCATCTCCTTTTCCTCCTGCCCTCAATCTTTCCCAGCATCAGAGTCTTCCAATGNAGTTTGCTCAAACTCATGTCCATTGAGTTGGTGATGCCATCCAACCATCTCATCCTCTGTCATCTCCTTTTCCTCCTGCCCTCAATCTTTCCCAGCATCAGAGTCTTCCAATGAGTTGGCTCTTCCCATCAGGTGACCAAAGTATTGGAGCTTCAACTTCAACATCAGCCCTTTCAGTAACTATCCAGGGTTGATTTCCTTTAGGATTGACTGGTTTGATCTCCTGGCTGTCCAAGAGACTCTCAAGAGTCTTCTACAGCACAACAGTTCGAAAGTATCAGTTCTTTGGCACTCAGCCTTCTTTATGGTCCAACTCTCACATCCATTCATACTACTGGAAAAAAACCATAGCTTTGACCATAAGGAACTTTATCAGCTAAGTGATGTCTCTGCTTTTTAATATGCTGTCTAGGTTTCTCATAGCTTTTGATCTTTTGGAAATAAATAATTTAGCCATTCAGTTTCCAAGAAATTTTGAGAAATACAGTTTGCTTTTTTAAGGAAAAAATCACGTGTCTCCTTAGCTCAAGTAAGCTTGTTATTGCCACTGTCAGGGATTTTAATATTTGTTTGTGTATGTGTGTGTGTATGTGAAGAACTATAATTCATTCACTTAAATACTTGAGATCATGTAAGACAAATTTGATTATGTACAGATAAATAGTATAACAATTTGGAATATGACATATCATTTTTTTCTCTGACTCATCTACTTGTTTTTTAATCTAATTTTCCTTACCTGATATATTAAATATGCTTAAAATAAGCACATTAAGGGCCTGATAAGACAGTAAGAACAAAAGGTAGTATCAAATAGGAAATGTTATTTGATATACCATTATATCAGTAGTGGTTATGGCAGCAGCAGCAACAGTGATCTTAATAGTAAAAAATTCCAAAGTGAAGCAGCAAAGGATGCTCTCATCAGCTCTTTTTCTCACCTCAGAAAAGGGCTTTGTGGGGTGGGGCAGAAATTGCCAGCCGGTCACCAAAATTATATATTATATTCTTTTTCCTGGCACTCAGCTAGAATACATTTACTATTCTTCTTTGTAGTTGGTGTGGCTGTGCAAATAAGTTCTAGCTAATAAAATAAAAGCATATAGGGTTCTCGTTACCATCTTTCTAAAGTCCATATATATGAGTTAACAGAGTGTATCATCAGTTAGGTAATGCTATATAACAAACCATTCCAACACTCAGCAGCTTTTATAACAGTCAATTTTTTCTCACTCACACATTTGTGGGTTAACTGTGGTGGTGTTGTAAAAGCTTGACCTGTCTTGAGTTGCTGGAGCATGAACTGGGTATCAGGGCTGGAAAGGAGGGAATCAAGGAAGGAAAAATGAGATAACAGAGCCTCTGAATAAACAGATCACCTGGCCAAAATATATGACATTTAGATATTGCATGTAACGTCTCTTAGAAGTTTAACAGTTTTTACAACTAACCAGGAATCTCTCCCTGTTTTTAAACCACCAGGTGGAGGCCAAAGATGTATAATCCCCAGGCCTAAAAATTTGACACAAAATTGACTTAGAAAATTATTTTTGATCCCAAAGTTTATTTCTTTTTCCTCTTCCATAAACTTGGACAATGAGAGTCAGCAGATCTTAGTGGAGAAGAAAAGGCACCAACATTAACTATCTATTAAGAGTTGTAATTTGGTTTCTCTGGTGGCTGTTAACAAGTCTGCCTGTGGTGTGGAAGACCCAGGTTCGATTCCTGGGTCAGGAAGATCCCCTGAAGAAGGGAATGGCAACCCACTCCAGTGCCTAACACTTTCACAAGAGTTGTAATTAGGTTAGACCTTTTACATGTGCTCTTCCAGTTAATCTTCAAAGCAACACTGAAGAAATATTCTTTATTTCCATCATTCTAGAAGGTAGAAATTGATCACTCAATTCATTTGAAAGTGGCAGGGCTAGCCCCTGAATTCTAAACCTAAAATTCCATATTTCATGCTTATCTCATTATACTGTGCAGTTAATACACTGAAACGGATTGAATAATAATTAGGTTAGAGTACGTATGCTGCTTCCTTTCTAGTAATGAAAAGTCCAAAATATTGGCTGCAGTGCTCATTTCTGTGTATCTGGCCATGTTTCCATTGGTCTAAGAAACTTCTAAGAATGTTATCATGGGCCGTAATTAAGACCAACTCTTTTGGTCCAGTGAGTGTTACTAAGTTCCATGACCACTTAACGCATGCTTAACCCTGTCTAACCATGAGTCCTTAACCACTGGAGAGAATGGTTTAGAAATTGTGGAAATTGATTAATAAATTATTTCTCACTAGTGGGTCAAGATCATTAGTCTTTGTAGGTCACTGGAGAGGATAGAGATTTTACCACTGGTTTGATTTTTTTATTCAAATGCTTTTTTTCTTCTCAGAATATATTTGCAAGGGCATGATTTTCACTCTAGATATGAGAAAAATAGAACCACAAAAGAAAAATAACTCATTCAAATCCCGTGTCCTGTGACAGTTTTCTGACTAGAGTTTAGGTTGTTGCTATTCAGTCACTAAGTCATGCTTGACTCTTTGTGATCCCATGGACTAGAGCCCACCAGGCTTCTCTGTCCATGGAATTCTCCAGGCAAGAATACTGGAGCGGGTAGCCATTCCTTTTCCAGGGAATCTTTCCAACCCAGGGATTGAACCCACATCTCCAGCATTGGCAGGTGAATTCTTTTACCACTGAGTTACCAGGGAAGCCCAGAGTCCAGGTATTTGACCTTCATCCAGAAATAATTTCACACCAAGATACCACTTCTTAAAAATCAAAATAAGTTGCAAAATATTAGTGCAAGGGAATTAGGATTATCTTATCCATAGAACACAACAGTTGTGTGTCAGAGAGGAAAAGCATTATCAACTAGAACAGTCACTCAGTTGATTTAATATAATATAAACTAGTGTCTACTCTGTACCAGGCATTGACTGAGTGCTTACACCATTAATCCACCTAACCTTCAATAAGCCTGGAATTAGGTATTAATTTCTCTCTCTTTTTTGCAGCCAAGGAAACTGAGAACTTAGATTCTTTCTCCAGATAACTCAGCTTAACATAGGGATTCATGTTCTGTCCATGGGTAGGAAATACTTGGATCTTGTTGGATGAAAATTTATGGAAGTTGGTTTATTTTAGAAATTTATCACCAAATTTCCCCTAAAAATGTTTGGAAATGCTCTAACTAGGAAGTGATGAGTCTAAGCCATAGGAATTTCTCTCTTCCTTGAATTAAGTTAGCAGTTATCATCCCAAACTGAAGGTCATTGTTGGAAAACTTAAAAATGAGTAAAATGATGGGCAAATATATTCAAACAATTGAAAAAACAGATCTGTAAGTGCTTAATTTCATACCTTCTGAATTGGTTTCCTCTTTTATATTTTTTGGTGGAGGTTCAATTCTTCGTAACACTCTGGGCCCCTTCCATGAAAACAGCTGCAGCGCATGCTTAGTTTATCCCCCAAGGTATCGACATGGCTTAATGCTCTAATCTGTGTCCTCCTATGGACAGGACATTGCCATTTTAATCGATTCAGACTCAGTCTGTATAGCAGTGGACCCAGTCCAACCTCCGGCTCTACATATATTTCTTAGCCGATTCTACTATGATACCTTTTCTTCTATACTTCCCAACCATATTCTGTGGAGAGCAATTACACCCAGGCCAAGGACAAGGTGATCTGGCCAAACTACTTTCTTTCTCATATGTTTGATACTTAGTAATATATTGGAAACTTTGTAAATGGAATAGGAACACTGACTTCTTCTGTGCCGCCAGAGTCAATTACTATCATTGTTAGTCTTACTAATATTTGCACACAAGTGGATCCTCCATTTGCTTTTGAAGTAAGTTGATTCCTTTGAAGTTGTACCAGACTGGTTGGGGACTAAGTTTAAAGGCTGATTCTTCCTTGTATTTAAGATGACCTGTTTCAGTGAAATGATCATAAAATTTCCTACAGCAGTAAATTCTTATTTTCATGAAATATTTTCTATTCACTATAATATTCACTGAGAAAGTAGATCTTCAAGAAAATTGCTGCCTAAGTAAGCTCACTTGGAGATGTGTAATTTTTTTCTGTTCCCTTAACTCTAATTGTCTTGAAAATTATAGGCAATATGTCCTGCTGGTTAAGGAAGCTACTCTGGAGCCAGAAAGTCTAATCCAAAAGTTGACTCCACCACTTATGAAATGTGTGCACCAGGCCAATCATACAAGCTTCCTGGACCATAAACCCTCCTTCGTGAATAGGTAATGATGCTATTACCAATATCAAATATTATTGCCAACCTCAAATAGGTAATAACACTTTATCAATTTCATTCTGTTGTACAGATTAAATGAATTAATATAAATAAAATACCTAATAAATGTAGAAAAGAACAATTTCTGATGTTAACTTTATCATCTATTTGAAATAAAAGCTTGGTGGTAAAGTCCTTGAAACACAACTCAAACATACTTGAAAGTATATACTTGGAATTTTATTGGGTTGATTTTGCACAGTCACTATTTATTTGAATATTCCTTTACAAAATCAATGATAACTTAGCCATGTGTTCACTCCTTGTTTCTCCTGTTCTCACCATTCTCTCAGCGTCTCTCCATTGGGAGATGGAAACTTGAACTTGTTCTACTAAATAATATTTCTTCCAAAAATAATAATGTATGAGTTGGAGAGAAGGAAAGATTAGTCTGTTTTTTGGATGAAGACCTACCTCCTCACCTGGTCTATCCAGACAGGAGCCAAGTTTGTTCCCAAAGTTCTGCCGAGAAAATGAGAATTTACTGCAGAGCCACATCTCATCACTGAGTCCATAGTAAGGCTACATGTAATTTATTGAGAGTTTTCTCTGCACAGTAAACTCAGGTAAACTAGGCAACTAATTTATTTATTCCATAGCACCCTCTAAACAAATTATGAAGATAGAAGTGTTAATCCAATTTACAGACTATATAAACAGAAAACAAGAGAATTAGAGAGAATGCCCAAATTCCCAGAATGAGGTAGCAGAAAAATTTAGATCAGAACTCAGACTGCTGGCTCCCAGTTTCCTTTCTCCTTTCTTTCCTTCCCCCTTCCTTCATATGTTCTTCTATTTCTTTTTTAATTAAAAAAATTATTAATTTGCTTTCTCTTCAAGATAAATTGTATCTTATCATGAAAAGTATAGTATCTGACATCATCACTCACATTAAATGAGGTTTCCTCATAACAAACATTTATCCTTAGTTTTATGTTATCTTGACCAATGTTACAGTAATTTCTGTTAGCTGATTGTGGTATATGATGTTTAATGTGAAAAGAAATTAAAACTTTCTTCATCTGTCGTAGAGTATTTCTCTTTTAAATGACTTCTGTTCATAATTTTGGTGTAAAATTTTGTGTCTCCACTATTTTCCTCTTTTTTCCTTCAGTTTATTTCATTACATTCTTCAGTAAAATAAAAAAAAACTTATTAATGTTTAGTTGATTTAAAGTGTTGTGTTAGTTTCATGTTTACAGCAAAGTGATTCAGATATATTCTTTTTCTGATTCTTTTCCATTCCAGGTTAATATAGGACACTGAATATACTCCCCTGTGCTATATGGTAGGTCCTTGTTATTTATCTATTTTATATATGGTAGTGTGCATCTGTTAATCCCAAATCTCTAATTTATCCCTCCTTACCCACACCCCACCCTCTTGCACCTTTGGTAGTCATAAGTTTGTGTTCTGTGACTCTAAGTTTCTGTTTTGTAAATAAGTTCATTTGTATTTTCTTCCCTTTCTAAGTCATATCACATATGGGATGTGTCACTGAAGGTGGAGTAGGTTGATACGTTTCTCTTGGGTCAGAAAACTTTTTCAGCGTCGCGCCCAGGTTTTTAAGGGAAATCTCTCACTACTAGGTTTTGGCAGGGTTTTCCTGAAGGAATGCAATTTTGGGAGACGGAGGGCGCATAACACAGCTCTGGGATGTCCTCTCAAAAGGCAAACAACAGGAAATAAATGTAAAATGACTCTCAACTACTTACCTGCCCAGGCTAAGTGAAGGCAATTGAAGGCACAATTTGCTTGTTAACCAAATTAGGTTGGAGAAATGGTCAGAGAGCACAAAAGGGGAGGAAAATTGCCATTACAAAAACTGGCTCTAAAACTGGCTATTAAGCTCCCACTTGCAGTTAATGCTTAGAGCGTGTATAATATGACCCTTTGTAATTCTATCTTTTATACTTTTAAGGAAAAAAATGTATTAGTTTAGAGAGCAATGCCATATATTGGCTATATTGAGTCAGTGTGACTAGTTTTAAAGCCACTAGAATTTTCGACTTGTTGGTGACCTTCTTAATTTTAGGTTTGAATGCTGTAAGGTAAGATAAGGAAAAAAATGTTGAACTTAGATGATTGAGTGCCAGACATTTTGCAGTTTTGACATGTTTTAAGGAAACGTGGTAAGGGGGGAAGGTGGCAGGGTTTGCAGCCAGAGGACCCATGCTATTTCAAACCTAAAACCCTCTACTTTACAGCTGTATGATTGTCAGTAGGTCATTTAACTTCTCTGATGTTCATTTTTTTCCAATCTTAAGTGAGAATAAGTGGCATATGAGAAAAATCTCTTACTCTATGTTTTTCTGGAACTCCGCCCTCGGGAGCTCTCCATTTCTTAAACTGTGCATTTGTTTACCATTTCAGAGGATTTTTGCATCCTTGGGTAGCACACCCAAGAAAGATTTCAAAAGAAGGTGAGATGTGTTTTCATTTTGTAAACTAAGCAAAGGCTGGTTGTGAAAGATAATTAGGGGTAAAGTCCAAAATCTTTGGTGTCTCCTTGGATAAGTCAGGTAAACATTAGGAAAGAGTATAGAGTGGCCAAATGGATTGTGATTTCATGAAAACTAGTCTTTCTGTAGTCTTCCTCAGCAAATCTTTGAACTCCTGAAGTAGCTTTAATAAACAGATACTGAGCTGGATGCTAAGGCACCTCAGACCTACGGTGTTATTTGGTCCCAAGAATTAACTTGGAGATAAAGTGCAGGATGAAAAAGGAATAGAAGAGTCTTCCTTAGCCTGTGAATTTCTGGGGTAATGCAGATGTGGATCAAGTGCTGAGATTCAAGATATCACTGTGTTTTCACAAAATACTGTTAGGTTTGCAAAGGTGAGTCAGCCATTTTTTCAGCAAAACCCAGAAGAGAATTCAGGCACACGGAGATGCTCACATTTAAGGGGAGGAGCAGAGCAGTCATTTCTTTGCTCCTTCTGAGGAGCAGGAAATACCAACTCCCTTGTCATTTCTGCAGGGCCAACTAATGGTTATAGTTGCTTGAAAAGGATTCAAAGACCTTTGGTTTTGTCAACTCCAAAACTCCAAGTGAGCAAGACCTACCTATACCTTTCCTTTTGTTTTTAAAAATCTTGTCCAGAAAAAGAAAAGCTGTTATCTGAGAGCTAACCCCATTAACCATTTAGGGGATGTAGAACTAAGGTCTAGTGTCCTGACTCCTAGGATGTGGATTTCAATATGCTCAAAATCATAATACAGACTTGATTCCTTTTAGCTGTTCACTCAATATTGGAGTTAGCTAGACTTTAGGCTTTGGATCTTCCAGACACCCAAGAGTATAAACTCCAGATTGATATTTGATTTCTATAATTCTCACTTCCATGGTAGCTCAGCTGGTAAAGAATCTGCCTGCAGTGCAGGAGACCCTTGTTTGATTCCCTGGCCAGGAAAATCTGCTGGAGAAGGGATAGGCTACCTACTCCAGTATACTTGGACTTCCCTGGTGGGTCAGATGGTAAAGAATCCACTGGCAATGCAGGAGACCTGGGTTCAATCCCTGGGTTGGGAAGATCCCCTGAAAGGAATGGCTACCCACTCCAGTATTCTGGTCTGGAGAATTCCATGGACAGAGGAGGCTGGCAGGCTACAGTCCATGGGTTTGCAAAGAGGTGGACACAACTGAATGACTTTCACTTTCCTCAGCCTCGAGATAGGAACAATAATAGCAGCCCAAATTACATGGGGTTGGTGTGGGTATTAAAAAATAATGTAAACAGGGGGTTAAGCATATCTTCTGGCCCACAGGAGTAGGTCCAAACATTGTTGCTGTTTTCATCCTAACTCTGAAAGGAGAAGAATTAGATTCAACATCTCAGAATTTCAGGAAAAACATAAAAGAGTATTTTGTGAATCAATTTGAAATTTCTGCAAAGCCCTTCCCCCCAATCTCTCTCCCTTTCCTACTTCCCCTTCCTTCCAGACAATAATAATCTAACAGGAAAAAACATGGAATAACTCTAACCTAACTGTAGAACCCTGAGGCTGTGTGTTAGGTGTCTAATGTGTTAGGTGCACATTAAATATTTTAGGGCAGCCACAAAATAATTTGCTTCTGAAAACGAAATTAATTCTGCAGTGAAAGGATGCTAGCCCTGTATTTATATATCAGTGTACTCATAAAGATTCTCAAATGAAGATGATGTATTTTGAGATATTTTGTAGATAGCAAGACAGTATATGTCATTCCTGTGAAATAATACAAATATATGCTTCATTGTTTTCAGCCTCATGAATGTATATTTTTAAAACACGTTTGTTGAAAATCTTGAGGTAGGGAAATTCCTCTCATCTTGTATGGTCATCTTATGACCTTCTGTAAATCTTAAACTTGATTGGTGAATCTACTCCATTTAGATGAAGCCTATGCTAAGACTGTCAAAAGATTAGCACCACTTAAAATCAGTATTTATTAAATAAAAATAATAAATATAAATACATAGCACTTGTGATAAAATAATAAACAGAGCAGTAATTGCCTTGCTGGACCGTAACACCATGATTCTATAGCAAAGGATCATTTTAAGCTGGACGTTCAGCATAAATTATACATTAAAAATTCATCTGAACTTGAAAACTTTCGCAATTGGATCCAATCGTTTCCTTGGAATGTGTGAAGTGTTACAAATGCCGCCTAATTCTTTTTGAAGCTCAAGGCAAAGGCAAAAAGTCTTGTAACATACTGGAATGATTTGAATGATTGTACCATAAAATGGCTTGGATTTGCTCATCTGGCTTCAAGTTCAGAGGAATGACCAACTGACATGTTCTCAGCAGTGTAGACTCTGAAGGGCCTGAGCAGATGCTGAAGGCTTACTCCAGGCCAGCGCACGAGGTTTTTTGTGGTTTCTCTTAAGTGTTTGCTAATATCTACCACATTGCAAACTCAATGTCCCTTTTCAACTGGCCTGACTGCTCTTAATATAATACAGATGATTTCATCTTTTGCGGAGCCTTTTCGCTACAGTGAACAAAAAGTCTGCAGGGCTCAGAATTCTATAATAACATACATGTTTCTTTAAGAACAGGAAAATCCCTTCCCCTTAAATGTTTTCCTGCTCCGTCTTGGGTTCTCTAGTACAATATCATATGTAATTCCTGTTTAAATAATACCCTACTTTTCCTCTGCGTCTTCATTTAAACCTCTGTTATTTTACGATTTTTCTAGATAGGCTGTACTTTGGTACACACAAAATACCTTTCTTGTTAGGAGACAACGCCATCACTCAGATGGGTTAGGAATACTTCATTTTAAAGTAAACAGAATTGAAAGGCTCTCTTTTTTCTGTGTTAGATGCAAAGTAAACAGTCCTTTCACGCAGACAATGAAGAAATTGTATGCTTTTATACCCTAGGAAGAAGAAAGAAAAGTCACGAATGGACTGCCCTAGTTCTGATTTTGAACTGATTTTCATTGTCTTTCACCTTTGCTCTTGTTGAGCAGAGTCACTTGATTGATTCATGTGTATGCACCAGCTTCATGTAAAGGCTTAGTTGAAGTAGACATTGCCTTAATTTATTTTAGCATATGAGAGCATCTTAGATGGTGCTGATAATACTTTGTACATGTTTCCTTTCTGATTATCAGAATAATTAAAAGAAAAGGGCCATTGAAACCTATAAATGTTCCCTCTGTTCTTTTCAGCTCACACTTCTATAAGCCTTGATGAGTCTGAGCTATGCAGAAGAGTGTTTCCAAGATTATGTCCTTCCACCTTAATGAGATTAAGAATGCACATGTAATGAGTTGTCAAATTTGTCTTTCATTTAGTTTAGGAGTGCTTTGTTGTTTTGGTTGCTAAGTTGTGTCTGACTCTTTGAGACCCCATGGACTATAGGCCACCAGGCTCCTCTGTCCATGAATTTCCCAGGCGAGAATGCTGGAGGGGGTTTCTATTTCCTTCTCCAGTGGGCCTTCCTGACCCAGGAAATCAAACCTGCCTCTCCTGCATTTTCAGGTGGATGTTTTACCACTGAACCACCAGGGAAGCTCTTAGGAGTGCTTACAGAAGCCCTAATGGCTTCTGAATGAGTGAAACTGTATGAATTCCCATTTACCAAGGCTGATCTAACAATTGCCTTTATCCCAGATAACCCTTCATCCTACAGTAAGGTGCTAATGTTTTATAGTAAGACCATGCCAACTAGCTCAAAGAATTATTATTAAGGTTATGAAAAATACCTTCTGTTGTGCTACTGGGCCCTGGTAAAAGACATAATGCCTAACCGTGCAGTAGCCAAGAGCTATGCTTCTAGAAGAG